CGAGCAGAAACGCTCCATTTCACTAACCGTGCCTTAGCTAGGTGTAAACGGCTGGGGAAAGGGAAGGAAAGGCTTGGGGCTAGCTGTTTATAAATATTTTACGCTGAGCATTAGAAACAACCCCTGGATTGCTTATTGGGGAAAGTGGCTAAATTGCAGCTGTTGCCAACATGATTATTTATTATGCATATAAGTAAAACCTGAACCATAAAACCGTATCTGTCGCTTTTGCTTGTTTTTTCTGTCCCCTTCTTCCTCTTCCAGCAAAATAATTAAAAACAAAGTAGAGCGTGCCTATGGAAAAGTAGAAATAATCAACACCACTTAGTAGTCAAACACCCACATTCTGCAGAGTGCTTGTGTTATATACATGTCTGAAAAAGGCACCAAACCAAACTGGACATTCATGAAGGGGGGTCAGGAATGCAAGGTAACTACAGATGTTACTACAACACTACGATCTCTGAACGACAATGTCTCCAATAGCTGTCGTTTTCGGAAATTGGAAATTGGAAACTCAAGTGTTTACATAAGCTACTATAGTTTCAGAAACCAATTATACTGCAGTCTTATCTTGTTAAAATAGCAGCAGGTGTAAAGGGAGAAGTGGTTGGCATGGAAGATTTTAATTTTCCTTCCACAGATGGGGACAAAGTAATAGGGATGTAAGCAGCCAAAACTCAAATGGCAAATCCTGCTAATGACTGCTTTTATAATCAGATTTCATAGCACATTGAAGAGTATTCTCGATCGAGTCTTTTTCAACAATCAAGCAGGGTAAAGAAAACAAAGGTAAGAGAGCTGATTAGCTGATTGCGATCGTAATACGACATGCTTGTAAGTATTCTTTGAAAACGTGCAGGAACATGAAGACTATGAAGGAATGAGACAGAGATCATGAGATGTAGAACAGGAAAGGATATATAAGGAATTGGTAGAGAGCAGATTGGAGCTGAAATTGAAAATTGTTAAGATCGTCCCTTGTACCCTAGTTTCTTCCAAGAAACAGCTGCATAACATCCTCATATCAGTTATACTCAACCAAATAATGGCCAGAATATAGGTTCTTTTGTAACTTTTCTTACTTTCTTTGGGAACTGCATATCTGCAGGTAAGGTACAACAAGGTTCCTTTGCCTTTTGGAATCAAGCAACACTTAAAAAGCCAATAATTTTAATGAGCTTCCATATATCGTCTTTCATGTGCCCACTGACAGGCACAAGAAAGGTAATGCAATTGCTATATCCCAGTTCATTTAAAATGCAATAGGGACTCAATGACCTAAGATCAGTCAATCTTAAAAGTAAAAAAAATATGCCATTAAATAGCTAACACACAGCTCCTTGGTGATCGCGCTGGATCCTGACTACTCTGCATTTCAAACTACCCCACCTATGGCGGTTCCACAGACATCAAACAGCATCTAAGTGCTTGAGACTAATGCAGACTATTTTTAACTAAGCGCTTTTAATAAGCTGCTGAGAAGTTGTAAATTTTTCATATACAGCACATATTCCCTTTGTGAAAACACTGAAACACACTTATTTAGTGATCAGTCACTGACAGGTGGAGGAGGTGAATTAAATGCGCTTGTATCAAACCACAGGCCTTTCAGAAGTAAAAATTCAAATATTTGAATCATCTTCCTATGTGCCACAGGTATTAGTAAATAATTAATTGGCATGGCTGCTTCTTTTAAAGCTTTAAAACTGCCTTATTTTGAGGTGCTAAAATCTGTACCTGTTAAGGCAAGCCCATTACCTCTTGTAAAGATAGTTAACAGACAATTTTGAGAGAAAATACTGGCTAGCACTCTCAACCATGAGTTTCAAATTGATTCTAATTAACTAATATCTAGAATGTAATTAGGTATAATTAATTCTTTCAAGAGTAAAAAAAAATATATTGTGTAAAAAACAAGCCATGTATTTGCATGAAGATCTTAAACTGACTTGCCCTGTTTTACCTTGTAGTGTTGATGTTTTCAGAAACAGATGTTTGCAAGGGCTGGTGTTAATAAGGATTAATTAAAAAAATGAAACAGCTGTGTATCTTGTGAGGAGCACAGCCCCAGTGGAGCACATTCCACAGATTTCTCTGGGGAGGGGGCTGCTGCTCAGTCACCTGACCAGTTGCAGGAAGCCAATTGGTCAGGTGCCTCTTTAAAGGAAGAGGAAATTGACATGGGAATGTCTGCCTGTTGCTAGAGGGGAACAGAAGATAGAACCAGTGTGCACCCGACAGTAGAAAAGGACTGACCAAGAAACCGAGTTAGGAAGCTTTGTGAAGAGTCTTGGAGGGAGAGACACGGTTTTGGAAATTTGAAATGTCTGAAAGACTGTTTGGGGGATTTGTTTGTTTGTTTTGTGACTGGTAAGCAGTGTAGGTGCTCAGCCTGTGACAGACTGGGACTTCAAGAAGTTTAGGCAGAAGCTTGAAAAACCGCTTAGGCTTTTATTTTGTTGGCTTGGTTTTTGGTTCGTGGCTTTCTTGCACTATAAATAAAACCTGGGTGTGGTTTAAATCTAACAGCTGTGTTTTTAGTGTTTGTTGGCTTGTACCTGCCTATTTAATATCCTGTTACCTTGCACCCACAGGTATGTCACAATCCAAAAACGTGTAAAACAGAATCTTGTAAAATACCTTGCTTGTGTAAGCAGAAGGTGGATCTCCAAAGCTTGCTTTGTCCTAGATAAATACTTTCTACATTTTAGTGATGGCTGCTAAGTATGACATTGGAAGAACACTTTCCTCATTACTGCAGGTACACCAGCATGAATGTTCCAGGGCAGAGCTCCTAACCTTGGTTGAACACTAAAAAAGGCACATAGGATGAAAAGCAACATACCAAGAAAGAGCCTGAAAACACCTGTTTTCTTCTAAAATGTCAGGAAACACCCTCCCAATCGAGTTCTCTGCCTGTGCACGTTTAGTTTGCAGTCTTTGAGACTTCTTGCACCAATCAGCAACAGCCCTGACAGATGGAAGGTGAAGACTGATCTGAACCCAAGTGCTCTGGAAAAACAACTGTCACTGTTAGGATAACAAAGTCCCTTTGCACATGAATGTGCTTGGTACTGTTGCTGGCAATGGAATTTAAATCCCTAAACGACTGGCAAGGAGGGTAAATACATGTGAGGCAATGGGATCTGGGGGGGCAAGGCTGAGAATAAGAACAAAGGAGGAAGAGGGGGAAAGGCCCTTGGTTGACATCCCCTCAGTAGCACAGCTGGACTGCACAGCACCATCCCAGGACGCAGGGCCTTTGATGGCATCACTGTGATGGGCAGTGCAGAAAAACACTTAATTCAAATCTAATAAATAGTGCATTTAACAATGTAAAGCAAATAAAACACTGCCTTCTATTACACATAGTAATAGAGTGTGCAGGTCCTTATGTAAATCCTGGTGTATGTCCTGAAGGAGCAATTAAAATAAGGATAAACAAGACTAAAACTGTGCACAACCCATGAACATGTGATATCATAAAAATAAGTGAATGCATTAAAGATTATTATAACATTCACTTAAGCAATCCCAGAGCAGTAAGTGTTTACTCCCAACAGTATGATGTGGAGAAGTTCCATTCTGACTGCAATGACCTTTGAACTTGCCAACGATGATGCCATAAGGCAAGGAGGGGACATCAGTGGGAAGCTGTCAAAAGCACTTCCACTTTGTGCCTAGGACTCCAGGAACTGCTATATTACAACAAGGGAGCGGTTATACACTGCATCACATAGCCATTCATTCAAAGCAGCAGGGAGCTGACAATAGGAGTTTAATCCTGAATGAGCTGTGTCTTGGTTACCTGAGAAGAAACCAGCCCTGGCAGCAGGTCTGAGACCACAGATCTCTTACGCTGCACATGACGTACTGTACCTTCATCATACAGCCTTGCGCCGCAGAACTGCAGGCCAGTCTAGTCTGTAGAGTAACGAAGCTAACCCACTCTGCCTCGGTGCGCTATACCTTTCACGCGCTTTTAATCCCATCAGGTGAGCCCAAAGCCTTACTGGGTTTTTACTTCATACATTTTACAATTTATTTTTAAATGAGATAAAATGTCTGTGAGACAGCAAGATTTCTTCACAAGCATTTTTGTTATAAATGTTCCCACTAAAATCAACAAAGAGTGTAATTAATGGCATGTATCGAAAGCTTGCTCTTCCACAGTGAATTCTGTCACAAGTGTAGTACTAACTGCAAATGTAGGAACAGACACAACAGCCAGTGACATGAGGCACAATGTTAAGTGCAATTCTCAATAGCACCAGAAGAATACCCTTTTCTTCCCACTGACCATGCTGTGGCCACTAGGCTAGCCCAGACTGAGTGTTACAATTCTCTACCATCTTTGATATTCATTATAGTTCAGATTTAATTTCTAAATGTTGAATTTGTAGTCTTTGTGGCTTTTTAAAAGTGCCTTAAAGAAAGTGTTTCTTGGAATTAACATTGCCCTTGTAAATTGTATAATAAATTCAGCAGGATTCCCAATTTACTGTAACTGTCGGACAAGAACTCGCTATAGATTCCTGGCAGAATGTTCTGAAATGTCAGTGTTATTAAAACCACAGCGTGCCAGAAATCAAAAGGTATCCCTGCCCCAAGACTGAAGTGACGCCCCCTACCAAAAACATTATTGAGCACTAAAGGAAGCTAAGTACAGTTTGAAATAAAACATTTCAAGATTTGTTTTGCCTTATAACACCCAACAGGACAAATATTGAAACATTCTTCAGCAAAGTTTGTTTTAGAATTCTTTGCATTTCATTACTGAGTTCTGAAGGCTTCTCTTAATCAGGTTTGTGGGATTTTAGGAGGGGGCTCATTAACCCAAAGAAGCACATGAATTGGAAAAAACATTCAGACTTAAATCAAGAAACCAAAAGAAATAAAAGGAATACTTGGCTTGGTTCTTGCTAGAGGTGAATATCCTTTTTGAGCAGTGTTTTTATTCTCCCTTCACAGGTTTAAGATGCAAAGAGGGACCTTACCTGTACCTTTGGTGAGCTCCTTCTCCCCCCCACTCTCTCTGTCTTTGGTTTGGTCCTCCTGGTCTGTGGTGGTCTCACTGGCAGCTTCCACATCCTCACTCAGCTCTCCTAGAGGGGGAGGAGAGGATGGGACATGTAAATCACTTCTCCATTAGAATTGGTTGATACCCTTAAAGGGACAGCATCATTTTTTTTTTCTACAGGAGGTTATAACAATTACACCCAGTGATGTCTGTGCACAGGGTTATAAAACCCACATTTGTTTATTCCAAGAAGATTCTATAAGGAATGTGCTGTAAAATATAAAATAAAGAGACTTCTTATATACAGTACAGTATACAATTTAATTTACAGAAATGGGACATTTTTGCCTTCAGTATCCCAATAAATCAGTGCATTCTTTATTTTACCTGCTTTTTTATTAAGCTATTTTTAATTTTTAGAGGAACTGTGACTAAGTTAGGACCATGACACAACTTAATCTTCAGTTTCATAAGGCTTTAAAACTAACAAATGCACAGATGGCAGAAATATGCACTCATGCCTGTGGACAGGAAAATAGTGTGGTAAGAGTGCTTAAAATGATAAAAGTGCTCTTTTATTCACCCCAATTCATTAATAAAACTCCACAACGGTCTGTTGGATTACTTACAAATCTGAGCACTTTACATTTTTCAATCTGTTACTGTGTAATTGCACAGGTAATGCAAAATAATATCATAAATATTTAAAACTTTTCATGCCTATAATTCATTTTTCTGCCAACTCTAACTCCGAAACCCCCTCCTTAAAAGCATTTGGTCAATATGCCAGACCGTTTAAAAGGAATGAACTCTAAACAATGGAGAACCGATAATGTCATCTGTAAGTAATGCAGAAAAAAGGCAGAAAAATAGATAAAATGAGCATCAATCTTATTTATTTCCCTCCAGTGACTCCTTGCACCCCCTCGATGTTACGTTTGTTTAAAAGTAGTGCGACTGATAGATGACAAAATTGATTCCACAACAGTAAACTGCACTGCAGTCAATAAGCCCCGATCAGTTATTACAGAAGTCAGCTAATTCTGGGCAAATGTACTTAAATGATCTTTGAAAACGCTTCCACACTCCACTCTCTACACATTGGATTATTGATATATTGACGATGCAACAACAACAAAAAAATATCCTGTTTAAATATTTATTTCGCCAGTCAATTCCAAACAACTAAGGGAGTCTTTCACTGAGAAGAACGTTTTGTGTATTCAGCAGCAAATCTCAGATGACCTCAAAGACCACAGGCTACTGTAATGAACTTTCACTTTTACTTTTGTTAGATTTTTGAATATTCACTATCAAACAGTTTTCCTCCTAATAATAAACAATAAATGGATTTTCAGAGAAAGGAACTGCAGGTGTATTTAAATACTATCTTCATATTATTGTGGGGAAAATAAAGCAGCACAGAACCAGAATATCAGTTAAGGTACACAATATTTTTGACACTGAACTGAACTGAAGAGACGGTCTTTAATTATTTGATTCTTTCCTCTAACAGAAGAGTTCCTGTAACTTTGCCGATAGCTTTGTGATTTACTTTCTAATTTTGCTTCCTTAATCATGCAATCATTTTAACATCCAGTTCCCCGCTATGATTTTCTTTTATTTATCACCTTCTATTGCTTTAATCTAATTCCTGATATAAAGACATGCACTGGAAGAAAAACAAATGGCAAAGACTGGCTTGAGCGAGACACTGTAAATCGAATCACACAAATAAATAGATTCAAAGGGAGCAGGAAAGGGAGGTCTGTCTGTCTCCCCCTGTCCTCCTGCCTCTCATCAGGACGAGAGAGCAGACAGGCTGAGTGTCTTCATTCATCTTCTGCTCCTAATTCAAATTCTATTGTCTTCTTCCTTTTCGAATTAAACAAAAAATACAGACTCTTGGGGATTGTAAGATATGTTCCCTGACAAATTTCAGAAGTAGAAAAAAATCTGAGCTAAGGTTTGCTGCTTGCCTCATTCAATGAAAATATTACATGAGATCCTATGAAACTGAGTGCTGTACCTGTCAGGTAAAACCTAAAACCTCAAAGAGCTTGTTTTCTACCACAATCATCTACAAGCCTTGGCAGCACCACAATCTCCAGGAGTGCACCTCAATTTCCCCAGTTTTTTGCTTGTAACCTCTGTCTGGAAGGACTTTGCCTGTGTTTATAGCACTACATACAAGAGATAGCAAAAGTATTAAGCAGCTTATGATTTTCTCATATTTAACAGAACACCATAATGCAGAAGGCAATAATATTTTGATTCCCTTTGATTTGGTATTACTATATTTTATTGCTTTCTAATAATGCACAATGGATTCTGCAAAGAGTGATACAAAGAGATGAGTTTTCTATGCTTTATAAATGTAAATTCAAGCTCAAGATACATCTGCATCTATGTATTCCCCCCACGGTAAAAAAACACAGGCTGGAAACATAATGGGGATATGTAAAATGATGACCCATTTTATTCAGAATCCACTTGTATAAATTGGGATGCTTCCATTGCAGACAGAATGTAATTTCACTGTTTGTTATCCTGTTTTAATTATTGATGCTCTCGTAGTGCTTCTGTTATGAAAATCGTTTCCTAAACACAATGTTGCCGAGGTTTTTTTTTTTTTTTGCTGTAGTGGTTTGGAAAAAAGTAATTAAAAACAGCAACAAACAAAACATTTTTTCAAAACAAATCCCACGCCACCCTGGGATTCTATGAGCGTCTGTAATTTTCTCATCGTAGGTAATGTCTTCAAGATTGTTGAAATAATAAAATAATCAAATTAAAAACAGAACGAGTGGACAGAATTGATTTATCTCGCAACCCGGGAAGCAGTAGTTGGGGTCCAATAAATCAGACAACTGTGGCTGGGTTTGTGTTCAGTGGTCCCCAGGCTGGAAAAGCCTGAACCCAGACACTGAATAAATCCATCTTTAATGCCAAAATCCACTGCTTTGCAATGTACTATGACAGGGATATTTTGCTGGTAGATCATTTTAATTCTATTATTTTGTTTTGCTACATTTTTGCATTTAAAAGCACTGATGGTGACAATGTGGTAACACTAGAAGGCTCTCCATTTTCAGTAGATGTGAAGTAAGAGTAGTGCAGACTTAACAGTTGAGGTTAAAAGATTCTGCTTTATGAATTAATAACGCAAATTAAATATTTGTGTTTTAACATCTTATAATAACTGACTGGTAATTTGTATGTTTTTTTAACTTATTTAGCGATGAAAAGATTTACAAACGGAACACATCCAAAACAGCATAAATAAACATTTGCCTTCATCTTTCATTTTTGTCACATTATCTTTATACATATAAAATTAACTATTTACATTATGCCAGCAGATATGGGGGGGGGGGTTTATACAAAAAAAATGTTTAATGAGAAACAACAAACAACAAAATAGTCCACACAGAAATATTACTGAATATTCTCTCATAAACCGAAATCAGGTCTCAGTGGGGAGATGAAATTAATCCATGTTTCTCAGTATTTGCTAAACCTCTCTGCCTGTAACCTGAGAGAAAAAGTAAATTTGCATGTTTTTTAAAGATAATGCATGAGTGTGCATGCATACAGTATAGTGTGGTTGCATCTCAGAGCACCTAATGAATAATAATAGAGAGGGGGTACCTTTTATTCCTGTAAAACTCCTGAACTGGCCTGAAGACATTTTTCAAAAAAGGGGTTTGAGTGGGGAGATGCCAAGGATTAATCTGAGGTTAATCTCATGCTGAAAAGTAAAAAAAAAAAAGCATTTTGGCCATGTAGATTTCTTCAGGTGTGTGAAGAAAAAGCTCTACGTTCACACGGCTGAAGAAGGCCAAGACGTTCGTACGTTTTTTAATTCTTTCTTTTTACTGGAGCAAAAAAAAAAGCCCTTGAATGATTTAAAATCACAGACAACAAGGATTGCAACATACAGTCGGGCACAGTCATCAGCAAAAAATGTTGATATAATTGTTCAAAGCATATTCACATATTCTCCACATATTTCTAATCTACAGTAACCCTGCTGTTGTTTTTTTCACATTAGTATTACAGCCATGATGATTATGATCAGGATTATTATGATGATGATGATTATTATTGCACTAAAGAGATTTTCATTGACTGTGTCTAATGTCAGCCACTGAAATCACCTCTGTGACACTGACAACAGGAGAACCCTATCAGGGAACAGAGCTTTCCTATCTTAGTCTGATTCTGTGTGCAGCTGTTTCAGTTTCAAAGTGAATGATTGTGTCTGGATTGTGTTGTTAGGTATTATTACTCCGTGCAGACAGTGATCCTGTGTTTAAATAAAGGTATTTAAGTGGGATAACGGGCTTGGAGTAAAAAGTAGATTTAAGTGTTCCCAAGATCCCACTTGCATATTTTTTTCTTTTATTCTGAAGCATGTTTCTATTATGTTACCAAGGCAACTTTCAATTTCCGTCCAACAGAACCCATCCTGCGCTGGCGAAGGAGTCCTAATGATCCCCAGGAAAGAAAAACCAGCCCATAGATAGTTACCACAAACAAGGGCTGAACTACATGGGACAAAAATCCAGAAAAGTCTCAGAGAATTAGTTAAGACATGCTGGGAGACAAACTATGATTAAGGAATAATCCGTAAGTAAGTTTTACACCTTAAAAAGGTTTTATTGTAATTTGAAGCTGTCCCACACTCATGTATAATTCTCCACCAAAGTGGTTTCCTTTCTCAGAACATTATATTAATCCACACATCAGACTTTACAAGATTTTTCCTCACCAGAATACCACAGCTGTCATCTTAACATTCTCCAGACAGATCTCTCGCAGTCAAATAAAGACCTTTTTTTTCTCCCTCCATTCTAACATTTTGTTTCTGTTTTTCTTCCTTTTGCACAGATATGACATTCTAACCACAAGACTTATAACAATGTAATCTTTGGAAATATATGCATAATCACATAAATTTTAGTCTCTGGGTAGTACTGCATCTTTAAGTGGGGAAAACATGCATTTTACATTTCCTTTCTGACAACATTAGACAATTATTAAAAGCAATGCAGTGATAATTAATAAAAGGTCAAAACTGGC